ATAATAATAATAATAATAATAAAATGCAAATAGGAATTTGCATTCAAATTGCATTTGAATTGGAAGGTATAGGTTTTTCAAAGTGGATTTTAAAAAATTGTATATATGCAAAAAGCCTGAGAGAGAGAATAGATGAGTGAATTAAATATTTGTAACTATATTTCCAAAATAGAGGTTTTAGTATAAATTTGGAGAAATTCTAGTACTAGAACATTGAATCATTGCTATAAAATATAGATCAAGATAAATATTTTTCCTCAAAAAACTGATGGGGGACATGGCTCCATAGTGTAGTGGTTAGCACGTCAGCTTTCTATGCAGAAGGTCCTGGGTTCGCACCCTGGTGGAGCCATGGTCCATGGTCTGTGGGCATGCCACCCTGAACAAGCCCGATGTCTGATCTCAGAAGCTAAGCAGGGTCGGGCCTGGTTAGTACTTCAATGGGAGACCACCTAGGAAGACCAGGTACTGTAGGCATAAATAATAATAAAAAACAAACAAAAAACCCAAAAAACTGATGGATAAAAAAATGCAGGTAATTTTGCGCATGGTAACGTAGTACAGAAATTGCACAGTTGATAGACATACTCGTTCTGATAAATAAGTTCGTCTTTTTTTCCTTATATAAATTCTGACTCTTGTCCAAACTGACTTTTTTTTAGACTGCTAAAAACAGACATGTCTGTAGCAAAAAATAGATTTAGGTTTAGCTGATTTAGGACAGGAAATTTTTTGTACTGTTTTTTTTCTAGCATTTCTAGAATTACTCTGAATAGCATGTTTTATGTATAAAATAGAAATTATAGGTTATTCTCTACTTGAAAGAATTAGGATCACCGTTTGATAATATTTGACTCATTTTAACTATTTAAAAGAGCAAGGAGGGGACAAAACTAACCTTCAGATACTACTATTTCACAATAGCTTTACTTTTCTTGTTTTTCCAAATCAGTGAAATTTCCTGTCCTGTCCAACTATTTTCTGGGTTTTAAATATAGCACATTAATTTAATCTGGAAGGTTTATAGCCAGCCAACAGGATTGTCTGACTCTTTGTTATTGTCTGCAAATTATCTTATGGCAGCAATGCTGAATAGGTCATTGAAATAATTTTTAAAAACTGAAGGCATAGTAAGCAAAGTTTGCTATTTCAAATGCCTCTGAAAATCAAGAGATGCCCATAGGTGTTCATGTGGGATAACGTATATATTGTGACTGGAAAATACATGCCCATCTTCAGAGTTATTGGATCGATTTTAGACTTGGAAATTCTTTCCCCATCTAATGCAAAATCATATGTTCTGTCCTAATATCAAACGCTGTTCTCTCTCTCCATCCACAGAGACAGCTATTCCTTCAGCTCAGTGGATTTTTAACCACGTTGAATGTATCAGTTGCATGGGAAGTCATTTCCAAAATACACATGCAGTAGCTTTAAATCTCCTGCCTCAGTATCAGAAGGTGCTAGGGCAAGTGAGTTTCAGGAAAAGTTCCTCAGGGTGTTCTGGAGCACACCTGGGAGATGACCCAGTCACTGGGTGGCTGGGTGACGACCTTGCATAAGGTGGGAAATAAGACTGTCCCGGTAGAAGGGAGTCTTTGGGGCTTAACGATGCTTTTGATTTATAAAAACTTGGCAATGTAAGACTTCTTCCTGGTCCCTTTGAATTAGACATTCTTCATTGTGAGAAGGCCCTAAGGTTGGGTTGACCTGCTTATAGAGGCGTGAGATGATTCTTGGAGGCTTGGCTGGTGTTTTAGGTGGGAGCTCAGAAGCTTTTGTGAGAAAGCAACATGATGCTGCTGGCTGCCTGGTTTGAGTGTTAGGTTAGGAAGTTTAAGTAGGATTTTGTTTCTTTCTCTGTCTTTTTAAATAAAACTTTCTTTGCTTTACAGATATTTGTTTTACTAGACATAAACAGTGGTTAAGTGAAGATAAATTGGTGTCTCAAGATATTTTCAGATTACTTCACTGAAAATAACCTATTTCAAGACTTTCTCTCCCTAAAAAGTCTTAGACTGAGATGGGAGGGGGACAGGGCAGAGACATGATTAGCCAGAAACAACTCTTTGTGGAATCTTTATGTAGCAGTGTTTCTAGGATTTACCTATGACACTAATATAGTACAGATGTCTGAATTTCTAATTTCATTGTACTGAGTTTGACTCTTGATGCTGAAAAGCATTCTAACCTAAATTAACCTTAAAAAGGTTAATTTAAATACAATTAAGCTGTTAAATTAACGGTAAACTGAGCATCAGCCATAGAAAGAATAATAGGGAAAAAATTATTTGCAATAATTTTTTATTCTAATAAGGCGTAATTGTTTGTTTTAAGATGTACCTTGTTTACCAGTTAGGACTGGATTAAATGAAAGGACCTGAATTTTACACATTTTGCATTTCACAGTCAGATTAACTACTCCCTTGACTTGTTTACTTCTATTCATAGACTAATGTCGAAATCAGTAAGTGGAATACTAAGTTAGGAGTTAGCCAGTTAATTTTTTTCTGTTAATATTAGATCAGTGTTCTTAATCCAGTGTTTGACCACAATTAAAACTTATTTTGGAATTAATGCTATTTTGAAATATATTTCAGATATACCAGTATATTCAGAGTCGCTTTTACCGGTCTCCTGAGGTGCTCCTGGGAATGCCTTATGACCTTGCTATCGACATGTGGTCCCTTGGGTGTATTCTGGTCGAAATGCACACTGGAGAACCTCTGTTCAGTGGAGCCAATGAGGTACATGATGGAGCGCCTGGAAAATTGTTCCTATTTTCATAATTTCTTTTTGTTTTTAATCTATAACAGTGTAATCTGAACGTTGTGTTTAGGGAAAGATGTCTATTTACCAACTTAATCATTCAAATGGTTTGTTAGATTTGAATTTATATTACACATTTTTCAATTATCATATGGTGAGTCTAGAATTATGAGATGGGAAGTGAGTAAGCTGCTAATGAACGAGAACAATAAAGTGGATTAGAAAATGTTAAGTATTTTGTATAAATTTTACAGGTTTTAAGTATAATAACCAAAAAAGGTGATCATGAAGGAATGAAGGCCACCCTGAAGTAGTGTAAATGTCACTATAAATTTTGAGGCTGTAATTTGGAATTAAAGAAGTGATGACCAGTAGGGTTGATGGATATGCAGTCTGGATAATTGAGAGTAAATGAGAATTACAGAATTTTAGAACTACAGATTGTGTATAATTTTCTAGTCCCCGGGTTTCCTGTCTGTGTTCTTAGAATATTCTTGAAGGTCAGAGGGCAGTGCCTGGGCGGACGAGGGTGAAGCCAAGCTAGCTCCCTTGCAGTCAGGGGAATTGGACTTTCATTGGTTTTAAAACTATTTGTGGATTTTTAAATTTTATTTATTTATTTATGTTTTGAGAAAAGTTAGACCACTGCCATTTGTGATCAGTCCATTCGTTTATAAATGAAAAAAGAAAGACCTGCAAAACCTAATGACTTGTGCTGGGTTATACAGTTGTTGATAGGTTTAGCTACTGTTTGCCGTAAGTGCCACAGTGTGTTTGTTTAATGTAAATAATATTATTGTAGATGAGTATGTTTTCATGGGCTCGGACAGTGTTAGGATCACCTTCCATCTCACTCCCTATAAAAGCCCGAGTTGTCTGAGTGGCTGGAAAACCCCTTCGTCCCTCTGACCTCTGTCCCTCTCCTCCTCGTCTCCCTCGCTCTCTGACCCAGCACACAGCCTTCTCTGAGGTCCTTTGGGAACAGTAGGCACAGGCCCTTAACTCAGGGCCTGGGCGTTTCTTCTTTCCTGTGCCTGCTCTCTCTCCCGGAGCCTCGGCCCCTCCCTCACTGCCCTGCGGTCCTTGCTCTCAGGTCACCATCTTGGTGAGACCGTTCATGACACCCCATTTTGGATTGCAGTGCCCTCACTCCCCATCTCCTTTTCTCGCCTTAGTTCTTAGTTGTCATCTGGTGTATTTATGTATTTCTTTACTGGTGATCACTTCTCGTATCATGTAAACTTTTTGGTAGGGATTTCTGTCTGTTCTGTTCATTGCTGTCTTCTTCTGAGCATGGTTTCTAGCATTTAGTGGACACTCGGTATTTAAGTGAATGAATCTGCACTTAAAAAAGTTTATTAGATCCACACTTAATTAAGCCTCAGGGGTTTTTTAATGGCTATTTAACTAGAACTCCCCAAACTTAAACTCTTAAAATTCCCTCCTGTCCTTCCTTTTTCTGCTGTGTATCCATGACCACCTGACACACCAGATTTATGTCTTTGTGTGCCCTCCCCTCTGTGAAATGTTGGCCTCCAAGAAGGCAGCGACTGTGTCTCTTTTGTTCGTTATTGTATATTCAGTGCCTAGGGGAGTGCCTGACACACAGGAGATGCTCAATTTATTTATTTATAATTTATGAATGAACGAATGAACGAATGAGTAGGATGTACTACAGTAGAAATTACATGGTTTTTTTTGTTCTTAATACAGGTAGATCAGATGAATAAAATTGTGGAAGTTCTGGGTATTCCACCTGCTCATATTCTTGACCAAGCACCAAAAGCAAGAAAGTTCTTTGAAAAGTTGCCAGATGGCACTTGGAACTTAAAGAAGACCAAAGATGGAAAACGGGTAAAATAGGGAAACTTTTTTTTTTTTGAACCTTTGTTATTTCTTTCACTAGAGCTGTCTTTTTATAGCTCATTTTCTATTTACTTGAAATCAGTGTTAGAGTTTACAGTTTCAGTAATAATTCAGGTATGTACTGAACTGTCTGGACCAGTGTTTGCTTAATGGTCAGAGTTCTCTCTAAGGCTTCATTAGGAAAACTATGTGTCTGCCCTTTGAGACAGCTGATCAAATCACCATGCCTTGTTTCAACAGTAGAATCAGTAAGTTTGACCTTCGTTTCTCACAACTTGGGTATATAGTGAATTCACAGTTAACAATACTGCAGCTGTGAACAGTAGAAGTCATAATTGCAGTAAATGGCTCTTTTTTTTTTAGTTCAGATGGAAGAAAAAGATTTTTGACTTAAGCAGTATGTGACAAGAATATGAACTGACTAGCTAGTCCTTTGATCGATTTCATATGGTTAGCAGGGATTTCTGGTCTCTAAAATCTTTAAACGTGAGGTTTTTAAAACAGTTTTTTTTAGTGATTTTCTTTTATCTGAGAACTTTTTTCTGATACCTAAACTATGCAGTTTAATAGAGTGACAGCCGTTTTGCATTTTGATTTACCTTTTTGTTTTACATATCTGAACATAATCATATATTTTACAATCTAGTTTTAGCATAAAATGAATATAATATATAAATATGTGATTATATATGCTATATGTAACAGATACCTTGCGATTGTAGCTTTGCATTTTTAACATTGAAGAGATTTTATTTTTGCTTCAGTTTTTATTTTACCCTTGCATTTTAGCAATGTTGCCACCAGGTGTCATTTCCAGTGAACTGAAGATTATCGCTTGCTTTTAATTCACCTTCGTATAGCTATGGAGTCTTAACTTTTAATATCAAATGATTTTCTTTAGAATATTTAAAAATATATATAAGTTGTGTTTTTCAGAACTGCTTTGTAGTATATTGCATTCTGCCTTATTCTCTAAAGTTACAGGCAGTGCAATATCCAGCAGCCAAATTTTACCTGCTCTCCATAAGGAAGGGATGGAACATACCAAGCAGACATCCTGAGTCCCTTTGCCTTTGTTCACATAGCTTATCATCATGGTCCTTTTTCCCTGAGCCAGAACACAGCCTGGGAACCCTTCTTAGCGTCACCAGCATTCAAGCTAGTTCCTACCAGTTGATTTGAATTAGCCCGCAGGACATGAAACCTCCTTCCTGTTTTATCTCTCTGCAGTACAGGCTGCTACTTTTCTCCGAGTTGAAGTTTTCTTTCTTTTTGTTATTTTTTTTTCATTTACCTAAATAAAATGTTCATCTGTTCCAGTCTCCAAATCTCTGCCATATGAAACCATAGTTAAGTCACTATGAGCTATAACCTATCATTTCTTCCAGTTTAGGCTATATTATTTGTTTTTTAAATTATTTCTGAGAGGACATTTCAGAATCTTTTCCATTCTTAAAATTGAAAGTATCTTAACGTATATTTAATATATGTTAACTAGATTTTATGAGATTTCCCTTAGCCATGATTAGCAACTGACTTAAACTTAATTTTTAAAAGCATAAAATAACTATTTCTCTTTAAACATTATGAAGAATGCACTAGAGATTTTAACTATAAGTATAAATAGGTGTGCATGGACTACCATCTGTCTGGTTTATTTTTCTTAGTGATTTTATTTTTACTTTAAAATTTCTCATTTTACATTTCAAGAGCCCATTTTAGCTTCCTAGTAATGAAATCCATACCTAGTAAGTTTTTTTTCCTTTTGTGGGGAAGGGGGATGAAGAATTAAGACTATAAACGTTACTGTTTTGTTAAAGTATAATTTATGTACAGTGATATATGCACATTTAAGATGTTTATTGAGTTTTAGTCTTTATGTATAACGTATCATTACCTAAAACACGATATGTTCCCACCGCCCCAAAAGTTCTCTCACGACCCTTTTCTGTCCTCTCAGCCCCGCTTTCTGATTTCTGTCATCATAGGTTTTGACTATTTATAGGCATAATTCATGTAAATGGAATATCACAGTGTTACTTTGTTTCTTCCACTTTACAAATGTTGTTTTTGCAGATTCATCCATATTGTGTATCTCAGGAGTTCTCCTATTTCATGTTACTGCTTCATAGTATTTCATTGAGTGAAAACGCCATAACTATCTATATTTACCTATTGATGGGTGTTTGGGTGGTTTCCAGCTTAGACTGTTGTGAATAAGGCTGCAGGGAAAATCCTTGTATAAATCATTTGTACATACGTATTTTCATTTCTGTTGGGTCACTACTGAGTAGAGATATTGCCAGGTTATAGGGTGTATGTGTGTAAGAAAATACCAAATAGTTTTCCAAAACTTTATCGATTCACATCCCACAATGTATGAGGGTTCCAGTTGCATGACATCCTCACTAATTGGATGGTTGTCTTTTTTATTTTAACCATTCTGATGGTTATGTAGCATTTTTTATTTGCATTTCCCTATAGCTAATGATACCACCTTTTCATGTGCTTACTAGCCATTCATATCTCTTCTTCTAAGAGTGTCACCCTTTCCAGTCTTTTGCCCCTTTGTTACTGGGTTGTTTAATTTTTGAGTTGTAGGAGTTCTGTAAGTCCCTTTGTCACATATAGGTCAATATTTTTTCCAGACCATGGCTTGCCTATTTCTTAGTGGTATCTTTTGATGAACAGAAAATTTTAATATTGATGAAATCAAATTTGTCAGCTTTTTAAATGAAAGGTATTTTTTATATTTTAAAAAATCTTTGCCTCCCTCAACTTTGTGTAGCTATTCTCCCATGTTGTTTTCTAAAAGTTTTTCTGATCCTAGGTTTTACAGTTTGAATTCTTTGGTCCATCTCGAATTAATGCTTGAGTATGGAAATAGGTGTTCATTTTCCCTATATGCTTACCTAGTAGCTTCATCATTTGTTCAAAACAGTTGCCTTTCCCTGTTGATCTGATTTTGCACAATTGTCCAAAACAAAATTATCTTTTATGTGCAGATCTGTATTTGGACTCCATTCTATTCCATTGGTCTGTCTATCCTTAAACCAGTACCGCAGTGCTGATTACTGTAGCTTTGCGGTGAGTCCAGAATTCAAGTATAGCTAAACCTTGAACAATGCAGGGCTTATGGGTGCTGACCCCACGCAGTTGAAACTTTGCATATAACTCTTGATTTCCCCAAAGTCGTATGCTAATAGCTTATGATTGACTGGAAGCCTTACCGGTAACATTAGTTAATTAATACCTATTTTGTACATGTATCATATGCTGTATTCTTATAATACAGCAAGCTAGAGAAAAGAAGATGTTATTAAGGAAATAATAAAGAGAAAATACTGTATCAATATTGTAAGTTTACATTGTTTATAAGATGAATCATCTGTCATTACCTACGTCAATATTGTTTTATATGATAAAAAACACTAGGTGTTATGCACCTTACTAACACTAGACATCAAAAATGAAAAGATAATGTGACAGAAATTTGTACTAATTTACAAGTGTCACAGTTCATGTGTCGATAGTGAAGCCGCAGCAGTGCGGTTGGTCTGGTTGTCCAGTGTAACTTTAGGGTTTCTTCACGGTAGCCTGGCCTATGCGCTAACGAATGAATCGTCATAACGTTTTCATGGCATATAGTATTACAGTCATATTTATAGTACAGTATTGGAAACATTGTTAATTTTCTTTTTAAAAAAAACCACTTACCTGTGACAGTAAGCTGATATGCAGCCTCTCCAATGATGACTGAAGGAGGCATACTTTTTGATAATGAAATTCTTTGTAAACAAGTTATAAAACAGTGAGAGAACTAATACATTATTAAGTTTTATATTTAATGTCACTCACCTTATGCTTACGTATGGATGGGATGGGCTGTCCACTTCCAGACAAGTCTTGCACGTGATGCTTTACATGATGACTACTTGGTGATGGTGATGATGATGACACAGAAGCGTCTCATGGAGTTACTAGATTTTCACAGAAAGACACTCACACACACAGCAGATGAGTCTATCAGCGTGCGGCATGATGATGACTCACTAAGTAGGAGTGGATCGTCAGAGAAGTCTTCACATCTGCATGCCGATAGATGCCACGTACTTACTGTTCTAGGCCGCGGAGTCAGGACTGTTACACATACATGTGGTACCCAGCACAGTGGGCGTCTGGTACTCGGGGGTCATTTTAGAAGTGTAAAGCCTTGCGGTTGCTATTACCCACTTCCTGCCACTTGTAAGAACTTATTAATCTAGTTGTTCTGAGAGAGAGAAGAGCTATAAAAGTATGAGAAATTTTGTAATAAGAGATCTGGTCTAACAGACCATGATTATAGTTTGGTCAATATGTATTTCAGTGGGTGTGGCAACAGCTATAGGTTGATGAAGTGGCATTTATTATCTCAAAAGAGATACTGTAACAAAATACTGGAAGAATTTTCAGCAGAATGGTTTTCATGGTTATTTCTTTGCGGTAGGGTTATATATGATTTTACTTCTTTATTTTACAGTTTTAAAAAAGGACATTAATTGTTTTTATAATCAGGAAAACAGTAAATTATAAATTAAAAGTCTTGAAACTGAAAAAAATAAAAATAAAGGCCTTCACATTGAGTAGCCTGTGGCATGAGGCGTGTTAGTCTCGCGGTCTCAGAGGCAGAGGAGGTGGTAGGGGACACGGGGGAGGCAGGCACACTCGGTGGGGACACATGGAAGTTTCTGCCTGACGTCTCTGCTTTTCATTTCTCTAAAAATGTTTCCTGGCCATGCCAGTCCTCCGCCCACCGGTCGCTTTGTTTCACAGAAGAGTCCACGTCATCAGAGACGTCCAAAGCGGCTGAACAGCCGGGCCCTGCGGCCGGTTGTCTGCCTCAGCGGTTCTCAGAGCCCTGCTCCTTCGCCGTGCTCGGTGGCGCACGTGTGGGGCAGCTGTCCTCTGCGTCGGGTCGTCTTCCGCCAGCTCCTCTGGTGTGCCGTCTG